GTGCTGCTGCTGCCGCGCGGAACCGGCCCCGGGAAGAGAACGTCACCACGTTGAAACAAGAGTTTATTAAAGTCTTGACCGAAACGTTAAAAAGTCTGTGTGGTTTAAGAAATCCCCGTTACGTGACTGAGCCCAAATCACCAACAAATTACAAACGAACTTTCCTCAGAGCCAAATCCGACAAATTCTTTAGACTTTTCGGTAACTAGAAAGACATCTTAGGAGTCTTTTTTAATTACTTTCCCGAGCCCTGTGATGCTCCTGGTAATTCAAACACACCAACACTGGTAACTCAGAAGTCACACTACAAGCAGAATAAGTTATTTTTATTACAAGATATATAGAACATGTTTTTTCTCTCTTCGCAACCTTATTTCAACAGTCCTGCAGTGCAAGCACCACCACGTCACGGGGTGGAAACACCCGGATCTTGACACAGGATACGCGAAGGAAATAAAATTATCAAAATTACAAAACAGGACTTGAAAGTATCTACAGTACTCAGGATATAAATAGTGCAAATTATGTATCTACAGCATAAGTACTTAAAGAGTATCAAAACTTTTTGGAAGAGCCTTTTGAAAGAAAGTAGTCATCTGTTAAGCTGCAGTATGTGCTTACAGCTCAGACCACTCTTAATTATTGCTGACATTTTTTCACCTCATATCAGTTCAAAGTGACAACCCCTTTTCTGTAAGTATATTGAACTATTTTGCTGCAGTGGCAAAACAAAAAAGAAAACTTAGGAGTTCCTCTGACTGTGAAACGGAGGTACCCACTAAGCTCTTTCTATCCATCCTTCCCAAGGACTCTTTGGGAGCAAGATCTTCATAGACATGAAACCAAGTTGGAGAAACTAGTTTCCAAATGGTACCTCTCTCTATTTCTGCCATGTGGTATTAGTAAAGGGGTAGGAAGTGGTCGGCGTGAGGAAGTTAGGGAATTTAAAACCAAATCCAACACTTATTTTTTCAAGAAGAATTGTCGAGCTTCTTCCCAGGACTGGCGGGGGAATCTGTTGGACAGCTCAAGGTAATCTTGAGAACTGAGCAATTTTTCTGTTGAAGACAGAACATAAAATTACCAAGTTATTCTCTCTTAAGATGGCAATAAAGAATTAATGAACGTGTGGCCCATTTGAGACGCTCCTAGTCCTTGACTTCCCTCCCCCTACCAAAAAATTTTCAGCCACGGGGTGACACTTCCGTGGAGCTCCGGATGTTGAGGCTTGGCTTTCAAAATGGGGGCAGAGGGCTCTGATGAGCAAAATTTTTAAGCTTTTAAAAAGATTTTTTAAGATTTTAAGGGTCAGGCTCTCCGCTTTACGCACCAGAACCCTGGACATCTTGACACACTTCACGTCCTTGGACCCATTGTGGACCAAGTCAGCTTCCTTCTGAAGCTTCCTTGGGAAGCCTCTGGGACATTCCCTCTGCTGAGCAGCTTCTTTTCCAACAAAGGGCTGAGGGGGAGTTGTGCTCCCTGGTTCCCCCAAAGCTCACAGCACAGTTACAAGAGCAGCTTTTACTCCTACGAGTACTCCTGGTGAGGTGAACGGGGCCACACGTGTGTGCACGGGCTTGTGGGGTTCAACCCAGCACCCAGCAATGGAGCTTGTGCTTCTGCATTTTATTCTGAGCAGTGCTATCGTCCCTGTTTGGTTTTTTGGGGACACTTGCCCTACACATTCAAGTGATATAACGGATAAAAATAATCCTGCTTACACTATCATTAAGTCAGCTTTTTGCAACAGGGGAATGTTTAGAAATCACACTCGCATGTCATCACATAGTCATCTTTGTTTAAAAGTTCATTCAGTTTGAATAATGAAAACAAAAAGCAAGCTTTCCACTTGGATTTTAAATGTTTTTGAGCAGATTCTCATGCAAACAAAATCCTGGAAAGTTTGTGCTGCAGAGGCACAAGGGCACGAAGTTCCTTCAGCTGAAGAGGTATAATGTTGACAGTAAAAATCTCCATAAATTTATGTTAATTTTATATTTTATAATTTAAACATAATGCTTATGTTTCAGACCTGAAATTGCTCGTCTGCCAAGCATTCAGCAAAATGGTGCTTGCTGTTAGGGAGAAACAACTGTCTGAGCAACACATTTTATGCAAAATACGAGCGACTGACGACCAGATTCCCACCATGATACTTGAATTTCAGATGTGTTTAACAAGCATCTTAGCTGAGAACCTTTCAAATATTTAGCCTCGAGAGGTTAAATGCATTTTACACAGTATTTATAATAACTGAGGGGCAAAAAAAATAATGGCAACTCTTTTGCAAGCTGACGAACTACGGGATAATTACAGGATGGTGTTTTACTCATTTTTGGCACCCAGGTGTATTGGCAGGGCTGTGTGGCTTCTGCAACCTAAAACCTTTGAAGGTGGCCTTTGTGACAGCTAATTAAATATGTGCACGTACAGTATCACATTTTAAGACACGATACCACATAGCATTCAATAAAGATTAACAGCCTGAGTTCCTGATTCCATGAGCAGCAGACCGAGAGACACGTATATTGGAATCAGAATGTAAGCTAGAGAGCCTCTCCCCAAACTGTAAAGTCATTTTGCAATTTACTATCTTGCTTTCATTGTGATGCAGATTAAAAAAAAAAAATTAAATCACAGTAAAATACAGTATCTACACATCTTGTTACTCAGTCGGTACTCTGTTACATTTCATTGGAGACATACCCCTCTGCTGCAATAAATGATTATCCATTTGGCCTGAACTCTGTGCAAAATCCTACAGGGGGGGAAAAAAAAGAAAGTGGCATCAGGTTTTCAGATCTTATATCTGAGGAATTTAAACAACATTTTAAGTCTTCACAGACACTTAAAAATCCTGATTACTTTATGAAAACTGTAAATTAACCAACTCTGTCTTACTTGCTACATATCATAATAGAATACTCCCAGCATTTAAATTCTATAATATACAGTAGATTTCTAAATACATCTTTCTTGGGGGAAAAAACCCAAAAACAAACAACAAAACAAATCAGAAAAAACAGAGGTTTAGTATCTTCTTAAGAAAGAGTTATTATAATTACTTTTAATTTAGAGAACATGTCCTATAGCTGTGTTTCTTTAAAACAAATGGTGTTTTAGGTTTATGCTTCTGACTCCAAATGCACTCCTAAAAAAATCTTGAATTATCCCAATTTCACCAGCTGTGCTTCCAAGTGACCTGGGAACCTGAAGTCCTGATCTCCTGAGAGTAAATGAAGCTGTTCCCCTGGCCATAATGAACTCTGCCCAGGGCTGCTGCCAGCTGTGCAGCCAGCTGTGCAACCAGCCAAGGTGCAGTTATCCAAGTGCCCAGTGCCATGTGTTATCCCTGCTGCTATCAGATGTCCAGGCCTATGGAATCCTGTCTTTTGTTGGAGTGAGTATTCACAGAGCAGAGATGATATTTTTTAACATCAGAGATACAGTTTAGCAAATCCTGGATACTCCTAGTGTTTTTGCTTAATTAATTCAGCAGATCTAGAAACAGAAGTAACAAAAATAAAAAGGATGGTGCAAACTTCAGATGATAGAAATGGATCTGTTGGTAGGGAGGTAGAACGTAGGTCGTTGTAAAATCCAGCAATCATTTCCTTTTGATTTATGCTGCACACATTTCACACACTGTATTTAAGTGTTATATTTGTACACACCACCAAACTTTTACGTAAACTGGACTTCTTTTTGCATTCCCTGGCATGAGAAGAACCTCAATTTCTAGTCAGAGGGAAAACATTTGTGTCTTTCCCAAACCTTCCACTGAAGCAAATGAGAGATTTCTTGACAAACAGCAGCGAGTTGAAATAGAAGTAGAGAGGAAAACTTCTTCTGCGTGCGTGGGTGTCTGAGCATTCCGCTCAGAATCGTGTGCTCCGTGTGTGCACGTGCAGCATTCGGGATTCATTTTTCAAACGGGTAAAATACTGAAGTACCAGCAAAGTCAGCAAAGGCACGACACTTCACAGCACACAAAGATCTTCCATATTTGAATATAACACCTTTTTTAAAAGCCTACAAGAATAGTATGTGGACTTGGCATCTGAGATACACGTCTCGTTGGAAATCGAATTATTAACGCTGACCATTGTACAGATACTTATGCTTTGCTGTAGCTGCTGGGGATTTAAATGCCATTCTCAAAATCGAGGTAAACAACCTGAATTATTCAGATAGGAAACACTCTCCCTCACTTGCATGTTTTTTGGCAGAAAAAAAACAACTAAACCTGCTGTATTTACTTATAATGCTTACGTTATTTTTTGCCGCTGAAGCTTCTACACTAAAATCTGTAGTTTCAATATAAGAAAGTCAAAGTAAAACATGACTTGTAGCTTTGTATTTGAACAGAAGTTCATTACAAAATGGCAAATTTTTCTAAGTTCCAAACATTTTTTTTTAACTGCTATGCAATTATTTTTTCATTAAAAAGATAAAAAGTAGATGCACTCAGAAGTTTGATGTTATGCTAAGACTTCTAGTAAATATTTAGTTCTTGTGCCTTCTCTCCCCAGTCCATGTAGCCTACCCTTGGACTAGCTGCAAAGCATTAGGGAAAAGAGTCAGATAAACATTTCTGTATCAACAACAGTAACTTTCAGGTGACTGATACAGTTATTAGACTCCTAAAAGCATATTATTTTTAATAGTATTTATAAAAACTGCATTTATTCATTAGAAACAGTCAATAAAATGAAAGGAAAACACAATGTATGCATAAAATCTGATATATAAAGCACAGCATATACATTTAGACAAAGGGAACAAAAATGCTGTAAATCCTTATTCAAAACAGTATTTGTAGTGAACTCAGTGGTTTACTGTCAAAAATAGACTGCAAGATTAGACCGGTAACATATGTTCTGTGTATGTTCTGCATAAAATATATACACTTCTCGTCAGTTCTCTCTGTAAATCTATTGTACACAGTACACAACTGTACATTTGCATGTAAACACATTATATACTGATTTCAGATGTGCAGTAATTTTTAGAAAATAAATATTTTAAGAATTGGCTTGTAATACCAGGATCTCCATCAAACCCTCCTTGCACGGCCAATAACTTTAATGAAAACAGGATTCTGTATGTGATAGTGAGAACCTGAACTCCTCTGTAACCTTTCAGTGTTATAAGATGTCTCAAGTACAGGCATAATCTGTGGTTTGAAAAGAGCTGAAGAGAATCTTAAAAGTACTTCAATGCTGTTTACTTATTTTACTGAAGGTCAAATGATTTCCATACACACGGCAAAGGCGAGAAAACCTGTTGCAGTTACCCTGCACATGGCCGTGAGTTTATTACAATAGCTACCTGGATGAATGTGGCCAGTAAAACACAACTCATCTCCTGCTCCAGGATGATCTTGTTCTGAGGGTTGTTGTAACAAGCAGCTATTAGTGATGGGAAGAGCACTTTGATTAAACGAGGATCACTGAAATACTGGAAAGGCAACTGGCAGAGTTTTTGCAGCACCGTGGGGTGACGACCCGATTGTACAATGATCTGAAAATACAAATGGAACAAAATTAGAGCACGTGACCTGTCTGCTCTTCTCTTCCTGTTAACCACCAAGAGTGCTGAAGTCATGCTAAAAAATGGAGAGTAAATGCTAAAAATAAAGCTTCCAACATTTAGTCCAAATAACTTCTGGTTTAGTGCGCAAGTATTATTTTTATTGCAGAGGAACACAAAGAATATAAAGCTGTGAAACTTCCTTCTCCTGTATCACCCAAAAAGACAGTAAGTAAATGAGAAGGGGATTAATCTGCAGATTACAATAACACTGGTAATTTAATACCTTCATTCAAAAGACAAAGAATTATAGCAAAGGGGCTATTGTAAATTAGAGCTACGAAACTAAAAACCTCAG